TTGTTTCCTCAATCATTTACCTATGACAAAATTTGCACCACGAAGAGAGAAGAAAAAGAGACATAAGCTCAGAAAATTAGCAGGAAGGTATACTGGAATGAGGAATTCTCTTAAATTTCTACAGGCAAGCAAAGAGGTGGAGCATCTTTTTGAACTGTCGGGTGAATTCAAAGAAATAGCATAGACTTCAAGAAAAGAACTCCGTGTTTTTGATATCCCTTGATTTCAAAATGTAGGAATATTTTGCCTTCACAAAGTAATGAATTCTTCCCCCTATTTAATCCTGTGCTTAATCCTGTGCTATAGTTGTATCTTCCAGGGGCACGTCAGTATTTTTTTCTAGAAATGGTCTAAGTTCATAAACACAAGAGATTTCATGGCTGGGCTTCGCGAACGAAGTTTTGGGAAGGGCTCTACCCACGTTTGTTGCAAGCGCGTTGGTGGCTAAAAGGCCAACACGAGACAGGCATGTCCGATTGCAAAAGGCACAGCAGAAAGACTCCTTAGATGGTATATTGTGCAAGGCACGCTTCTTTCTGCGTTGTCTTTTCTCCTCAAGGGTGATCCTGCGTGCTTTCTCAAAAGCATCAGCAGCGTTATAGATGGTGTGTCTCCAGCCCTCCCGATTGGAGGCCAGAGTAGACCGGTTATGTTGATCAATCCAGAGTAGACCAGCTACAAGAGATTTAATCCCATTGCATTATCTCAAATATCAGAAAAATCAGAAGAATTTTCATCCTCAAAAAGTAATTTTTGCTTCAATAAAATTGTTGAAGATATGTTCTAAAATATATATAGCTCAGACTGGCCAAGTAAGGCAGCTATTCATGTGAATTTTTGCCCTTGAATGAAATATCCAGATAATAAACTATCTTTCTGAGTTGCAGACAATCCCACACAGCCCTGTCTTCCTCTAAGAAATTAAAAATGTTTGTAATTATTTTCAAGGGAGCATAAGATACCATTTTGTAAAACAGATGTAAATACAGATCTTTGGAATTCTCATTTTTCTATTACAAAGCTTGTGCGTTTGAGGCAGTTGCACTTTGATGTCCAGATTAGTGCCATTTTAATGTACAGTCTGAACTAAGATTTCTTCATTATGTGTGTCAAATTCCAAAAGGTGGCTGGTCTCTTCAAATAACAGTGTTTTTCATAGAGCAAATGTATGTATGTAGCATGTGACCACGTGCAGCTAAAGCTAAAGCAGCAACATAGGAAGAGGAGAATGGAAGTAGGTGGCTGATGTAAAAATATTATATTCTGGTTAGTTTCCAATTGGGTGACTGATTGTGTAGCTCTTGGTTTCATTACCATAAGACGAATTGTTCAATATATTTCAAGTGTACATCCAATCTGATAGACATGGAATGTGAATTTAGGCACTTTTTCTCTGAGCAGGATCAATATGTCTGCAGCTGAGTGGTGTCTCTGAAGTTAAATATTAATTTTTAATGAAGCTTCGGAATCAGTCACTTCACCTTTTTTTTTTTTTAGACTTCAGTTTGTTTCTAATAAAAAACCAAGTTTGACAGATATTTATTTCAAATCACTTATCAGTGATGATTCACAAGTCAAAAATAAGATGAGCTGTAAACTTGATTTGTGATCAGCTTTTTTTTAAAAGGCACTGACCTGTCAAACCCTTTTTTTTTTTTTTTTGAGAGGAATATATCATTTTTGGTTAACTTTGTCTGGGATAACATTCTTGACTCTTAAGTGGGGCAAGAAAAATCTCAAAAAAACAAAAAAGACAGTGAGAGAGGAGAGAGGGAGAAGTAAATCCATGCATCAGTAGATAATAATATCCAGGAACTAAGATTCTTGCCAAGAGACTTGAGAATTCCCTCATTCAAGAATAGGAATCTGAGCACTCTGTTCCTCCTGTATGACAACCATGTTGATAAATACTACCTGGTGGGAAGAGGATTTTCTCTTTTTATTTTTAAACATATTCAAAAGAATTTTTGTTCTTTGCATGCAGTACAGAACAGGAAGTACTTTGAAGTCGTGGATATTTTTGTAGGACATGAAAATTATTGCCTTCCTGCACATATTTATTAAAAAAAAAAAGAATAAAAGGTATTTAACTTATTTAAGAGACCAGATGGAGTTGTGAATTTTGTAAATTTTGGCTGATTCTTGCTACTTAGTAAAAGTTTAAGAAGAAAGGCTTGAATTATGGTTTTGCTGTTCAGTTTAGTAGTTAACTGTACCTCAATATATCTATCTGAAAATATTATTGCTTTGAAGAGCCTCTTGAATAGTGGGTTTACCCAGTTAAGAAGTCATTCCACATAGTTTGAAGGACATGAAAGAGTTTATAGAAAACACATAGGTCTAGTCCAGAATTTCTGAACCTAAATGAGGATTGCAGTAACTCTGTGTGTCCATTAATGTTGTTATCTGTGGAGAGTGTGAACTTGAAAGGTAGAAGGCAGATAGAGAAATTCTCACCTCTGCATCAGGCCACAGGGATCAATATGCCAGAATATATATAAGTTTTCAGGCAAAGAAATAGATTAAATAACAGACACTAAAGGTGCTGATTGACTGAGGACAACTTTTAAGTCACCTTGGAAAAACCGATATTTTAAGCACATCAAGTTATTAAAATTATTTTCCTTGCCTATATTACCCACATTCACAGTATTGTTCTACAGTCTCAAACTCTGGAATGCACAATACTTAGGGATACTTTCACTTTTCCAGACAGGGGAATGAGTTAGCCCTGGGAATTGTGTTTACTTGTATTAAAGAAGAGATACTCACAACAGTGTGAGGTTGGTAGACATAAAAAGAATCCAACAATGGAATATGGATATTTCCCCCTGTTCAGAGATCTTAGAGTTGTGCTGTCTTACAAAGTATTAACTCTTACTGGCCAGAAATATTTGTAAGTTTCCCTTTAAAATAAGTGTATGACACAGTTCTGATATATATTTTTTTTACTGTTGCTTAGAGGTTTTATGTATTCCTGGATGATGGGACAGAGTTCGCTCTCAGCAAAATGGAAGGAATGGGTGACAAAGTAGAGAGCAGGGATGGTCTTTCAGGAGGCCATGCTGCAGTGCAGAACCAGGGGCTGACTGAGTAGGAAAAAGCTTTGCAGCAGTGGCCCTGTTAGCCCAGGTGGACAATAAGCTGAGCATGAGTTGGCAAGGGCCAACTGCACAGCTCTTAGAATTTAGCTAGCAGGTCTGTGAGGGTGATCCTTCACAGCTATTTAGTATCTGTGAGGCCACACCTGGAATAATCTGACAAATTTTGGACTCTGCTGTACAAAAAGACATGGATTTATTCGACTGAATCCAGTGCAGGGCTGGAAGGTGACTGGGGGATGGGACACCTGAATTGATGAAATCTGCATCCATTGAGATGTTCAAAACACGACTGGAGGTCCTGACAACTTGCTCTATTGGACCTGCTTCCAACAGCTTCTTGATTATGATACATCAGACAGATATGTGTCTAATTTATTATTTTCAGTAACATTTTCTTTGTTAAATTATTTTTTGAATCTCACAAGTTATGGGAAAATTAAACTGGGCAAAAATTTTATAACTTCATACTTCAGTTGAAGAATGATGTATCTGCATATATTAACAACATGGGTTGTGATTCTCTCCAAAGTCTGCAGTGAGAATGATTTCCCATAGAGAATAGAAGTTGTTGTTGGAAAAAAAACTGAAAGGACGTCTATGGATCAAAAACAGTTCTTTTCCCGCTCCTGAATTTTGATTCAGTGGGTCAACATCCCAGACATTTTCTGTAAAGCAGAAACATGAGTTCATAGTGTTTTCATTCTGTAATTATTGAAAAGTTGAAATTAAAGCTGTATATTTTAAAGAAATTTGATAATTTAATAAAAGAGCAGAAGAAACGTAGTGAAGAGAATGCTACTGCTGTTCCACTGACAGCAGACGAGTGTGTTTAGTAGATTAAACCCATACACATATGGATATGTATGTGTGTGTGTCAGTAAGAAAAGGAGCATTGATTTTGACAAGTTGAAAGGAACAAATATTATAGAGTTATATCAAAATGTCAAATGTATTTTAAATCTGTGACAGCCCATAATCTGTGTTAAAAACTGAAGTAGGAATTAATGTTGAAAAGCAAAATATCAAAACGTTACAAGTGACTACAAAAGTTGGAACTTTCTCATGAATATTTATTATCAGTATTAAAAAAAATAATTATCATTCTTTTTTTTTCATATGACACGCACTCACCTGTCAGAGATAGTAAAGAGGACACTTCCTAATAGAAACAAAATTAGTAATAATCAATGCCACTTCTATGAATTAAGTATACAGATGATAAATCTAACAGAATAGCTGCACTACTTGGATACGTGGTTTGAACACTCTTCAAGAACCTTCAGAAGGTTTTTGACCACTACAAAACACTTTCTATTCCACAATTTGCCTAAGTCTACCAGTATTTCAGGGTAGATCAAAAGTGAGGAGAGAAGCCATCTATTAGGATTCTTGACATTATTTTATTGTATCCATCCCTTGGATTTTGAAAACTGAGCCTTTTTGTAGTACTCCGCTTTAAAAAGTTTCAGTTTTGGTAATATCTTCTTAAATAAAGTTTTCATAAACTATTCAAAATTGGTTTACAGTAGCATAGTTTATTTTATTTTTCTGTCAATGTCTATATTTTATAGAGACATAATTAAATATAACAACAAACTGTGAAGTGCTGGATAACATTTACGAAAATATAAAATTGCAATGTCAGTGCATGTTGGTGGTTTTTTGTGAGGGTTTAAAGAGTTAATTTTTTTTTAACACAAGTGCCTTTAATGCCTTAGCATGTGAAATATTCTAAATTTAGGTGCTATATTTACTGTCTAAGCAAAAACATTTACAGCTACTGAAGGCACAAATATTATTGAAATAAAAGAAAAACTAAAGCCTTCCTGAACCAATATAGGTGTGCTACTCAATAATAATCAGAACACTATATATGTGAATTTCTTTCTTTTCTAGCACCACTAACAGATAAACCACCAAAGCTTTTACATCCCTTGGAGACTAAGCTAACAATTCAGGAGACCCAATTAGGTAAGTAGCAAATGTAATCTCTGTTCAAATTGTGTGAAGGTATTTGATATGTTATGATGGTAATCTGATGGCATGTTGGCATTAATAATTTCATTGAAAAGACATTAAACATACTTTGTTTCCACGCAGACATGCATCATAGAGCATCTAGAAGATTGTTGTTCCCCAAAAACATCTTAGTAATTAATATTGAACACTAATTTCTCGAGTATTATTGATACTGGGTTTTAGGTTTTCTGAAAGTCAATAGTTATAAGTAAATCTGAACTTTTCTTTGTATCTTCCCCTTTTCTGTATATGTATATATATGCATATGCATATATACTTACTGTGGGGTTCAGTGGGATTTTGTGATTTGCAAGACTTCTTTGCTTTCATGGATACCTACAGAATTGCAAAGATATTCTGTAATTATAAAGGTTGTGTTGGTCAAATCATCCAGCAAACAGTTATTTTACCATAATAGCATCTGATTATTCTAAATGTAAGAATATTTACGTATAGATCAATCAAGAGAAGTTGATGCATGAAAAAAGCAATTTTGTTTCACTTTTCTAGAATAGTGGATGGTGGGTATGTTTGGTCACTTTAGTGTCCCGCTGCTGTAGAGGTAATTAAGGCTCCAAAACTAAGTGCATAAGTTACTACAGTTTGCAGGATATAACAGTCTGTCTCTTGCTTGGATTGACACAGACAGTAACTTGCAAGAAACCAAGAGTCCTCAGTAGGTTACTTTGGAATTATGCTTTGGTGTCAGAATAGTAACCTATTGATAGATGTTCTAGAATGTTAGTTACAGAAGAAAATGGATACAAATATGGTGGTTGTCTAAATCTCATAGGAAAAGAAATACAGAAAGTAAAACTCAGTACATTCTGCAGCACACCATCAGAAAAAGCAGAAGGCTTGAAAATTAATTCTGACAGTTGTTGGTAGAGCATTTTATGGTGATTGCCAGCTTGTGGTTAATAGTGGCCAGAGAATAACTCATCTTTTCTTTGAAATTAATAAACTATTACTTTAAATCATTCATGCTATTCAGGTAATATTCCGAAGTACTGATATACAGTTTTTTCAAAAACAATCATATAGAAAAGGAGAAATGTAACGTTTCCTTCTAGAGCTACTTTCTGTTCTTCTGAAGATATTGGTTCTGATATGATGACTCAGAAATCTTTTCCTGTATGACAGTCCTATATGATTTTATGTTATTGTTTGTATACAAGACTAGAGAAGAGAAAGCAAAATGATCTACACATTTGTTTCTAAACTAGTGTTGCTTACTGGAATATTTTTGTTGAAAATAAAAACCCCAAAAGGCAGAACTTTTCCTGGGCTTTGATGTTGTCTTGCTAAACGTACTGTGTGGTGAGATTATTTCAAGAAAAGTGTAATTAGTAATGGCTAGGCAGAGGCTTTTTGTCTATGACTTTTAGAATTAATCTCAGTTTTGATTTCTCATAGTTCTAAAACACAGATTAAACAGTTTGAAAAGAGCTAGGTTTGAAAAAGATTCTATTCAGAAAACTAAATAGCTGTTGATGAATATGAAAGAGTTAACTTGAAAATGTCACTTTCAGACACAGATGGGAAAATCTGACCATAAATGAATGTGAATCTACAATACTTAGCCTTATGTCAAGAAGTTACAAGAATATATTAATTTGTTGTTTAAAAGCCTGTGAAATAGCCTGTGAGAACTGGAGCAAGTACAAAAAATTGATAGTTCCCTCACACAGAAATTGTGTTGTTCCACTCTTTAAATTTAATGCCCTGGTCCTGCTGGATAACCTTTGAAAGGTCTATGTTTCCCTGAGGAAAGCCAGTTCTGGGGGCCAGTTCATACTTTGCAAAAAAATGAAGAATATTTTATCATCAGAATAATGCTGAAATTCACTTAGATGAAACTTGGGTGCCTACCTGAGTCTTGGGGTGACCACATGTTGCAGACTGGTCTAGACACTGCCACAAAATATGTTAGTCCTCTAGAATGTGTTTGGGATGATGTGCTTGTCCCTTATCTGGAAAACAAACATTTTGGTGGAAGCTGGAGAAGTGGAAAAGGTGGCAATCTCATTCCAAAAAAAAAGAGAGAGCAAGGAACTGGGAGCTTGAGGTGGTCTGGGATTTCATTAGCAGGTCACCAGCCAGTGCAGTGGGGAGCTGGGACAATCCCCACTCTTCACTCACATTTCTGTCCTTCTCACCTTGCAGTCCTCTGTCCTGAGTCAGAAATGAAGCAGGTTGCACGTGTCAGGGCATGCTCTGGGAGGTGCACACCTAATTTGCAGGGATGTGTGTGCAGCTGCAGGTGCACATAGTGTACTAAAAAGTCAGTACTGATGGCTTACCTCCAAATCTTCCCCTGTGGAGTGGTGCTGGGCACACTGTTGAGGAAGGCATCAGTAAGTCCCGTGGGTTTTCTGCTGAACAAACTACTGAAGTTCAGTACTTAAACAGGGCACCTCCATTTAGTGTCTAAATCAACGTGTGAAGACTCCCACGAAAGATATGAAAAGACGTATCTTTTTCACTTGGCTCCAGCACTGCTGAGTGATAGAGATATTTGACATTTATCATTGGGATATATTGGCTTCTTCTGTATACCAGCAATTGAAATTAATATCATGGGACCACAGACCTGTTGTATTACTTTGCATGGCTTCCATAAAACAGCATCACACTGAAAGGTAACTGCACACTAAAGAAGGAGTTTCTCTAAGGGGTGACTGAGAGAGTGTTATGGCATCAGCTTGCTGCAGTTTGAGTTGATAAGACAAAAGGAAAGAAACGAGATCTGGAGAATCTGCACACCTCAATCCAATGAACCTCCCATCACTCTCAAGTTGTCCACAGTTAGTTGTGGAAGAGGTACCATGCTACTCAACTGATATCTGAGAGAGTGTTAAGCATGGTTGTACTGAAATTACTAACTTTAGAGAGTCACAAGTATCTTGAGATCTCATCAGAAATATCTGTTTATTACACTGAATAGTAACTAGAAATGTGTAAGATAGAAGCACAGCATAAAAATTGAATGAGAAGTTAATTTCTCAAAGGCTTTTCATATAAAATCCCTATAGAACAGTCAAAGAATTAAGCAGAGAAACGTAGATGAGGAAAGAGGGATTAGTTTCCAATTTATCCTGTTCTGTACTTAATGTTTTTTGTTATTTCACTTCCAATTTTAAAATCAATTACTTAATCCTGTTGCAGGGGTAAAAACACTCCTTTTTAAGCTTTTCTGCTGTTAAAGGGATTTTAGGCAGTGGTGGTGACCTCAGTATAAATTTCTTCTCTGGAAACAACCACTCCAGATAAAATATTATGTCAAATACAGTCTTCAAAAGATTTCATCCTGCAAAGCTTGGAGCTGTCAGAAGATGAAGAGTGTTTCCCACTCAGCTCTGAGCCACCCTGTAGTCTGGTAGCAGCATATGCCAGAGAGGGGAGAAAAGCTGGCAATCAATGGGAGGCCAGGGGAGGCAAGGCAGGGTAATGAAGAACATAATGACCTAAGGAACTGCATCCCACAATATTCTTCCTCTTACCTTATACAGGCTAGCAAAATCTAAACAAATCCCTGCTAACACAAACCCTCCTTGTAATAATAATAAAAGCACGAATTTTTTCATTCAGAAAGGAATTTATTAACATTGTTTCTTACATACAAAAAATCCTAAAACTTCAGGCAACTGTATTTTTAATTCTAGATTCATGCTGATCTTATATCTTTATAATATAAATATACCATATCTGTGATATGTAAATTTATATAAAAAATATGTTCTGGTGGTTGTTTTTTTTGTAATTTCTGAATCTTTTTAGATTCACCCATCTTTCAGATGAATCTGTTTTTGCTTCCAGAACTGTCCCATACCTGTCCTTCTCAAAGTAACAAAGAATACTTGACAAAATCTGATTTTAGCATCCAGTTGGTTCATCTCATGTTACTAAAGAAGACAGATATGATTTCACAACCAACAGTAATGGATCTGAATTAAAAAATTACAAAACATGAAATAATTACTTTAAAAACCTCACAAGGTAGTTAGCCTCTGTTCTCCCCAATTTTTTTCAATGTGTTTCCTGGTTCTGCACAAGGCTGTAATTTTACATGCCAAAATTCACCAAGAATAATAAAGCTATTGTTGAATTATTTTTAGCTAGCCTTGAAGTTAGAGAAGGGAGAAAAAAAAAAGGAATAAAAGATTTCCAACGCTTTATGAATGGACCTAAAAGCAAAGTTTGTACAGGAACCTAAACATTTTCTGTGTTGTCTGGATAAAGTGAATTTTCCTGAATATCATCCAACACAAAAATATTACTCTTGTGACCAAATATGCAATGAATATCTGTTCATTTTTATCTTGGGCATTATTTTGATAAAGTTAAACCATTACATAGTGAATTGCAGATTTCTTCTTTCTCCCCCTTTCCTGAATATATTCAAGAAAAAAATTGATTAAACTATTTTTAATAAACTATTTTTAAAGTAATAATACAAAGAAGCTCCCCATCAGGGATGGAAGAAGGCTGCTTCTTTTATAGTACTGTCTAGTCATAAAAATCTTGCACAAAAATTTGCCTCCTTAAAGATAAAAACACTCCTTAACTAGTTTAATCAGTAGATGTATAAATAAATTAACTAAAATGATATTGAATAACTATCAATCAGTGACTCCTTTCAGGATGGAAAGGGAAATGAAAGAATAGAGAAAATTACAGATTTTATCTCTACACATTTCCTTTAAATGTTATATTCACTGTTTAAGAGGAACATGGTTTTTTTCATTATATAAGGAATTTTAAATTTATCCAATTACACCATCATCTTTTAAACCAATTTGAACTTTTTTTTGATCATCCGATTCAATTAAACACTTTGATATATTCTGTTATTAGATTAACATAGTATGGGCAAGAGTTTCATATGGAAATTAACAAAACTGTAGATTCATAATTTACTTCAAACTTATCATCTGGGGTTTTTCTTACCT